GAGGGGTCTCCAGACCTGGTCTTCCTGTTCTCAGACCTCCTGAGGGGCCTCCAGACCTGGTTCTTCCTGTTCTCAGACCTCTTGAGGGGTCTCCAGACCTGGTCTTCCTGTTCTCAGAACTCCAGAGGGGTCTCCAGACCTGGTCCCCCTGTTCTCAGACCTCCATAGGGGTCTCCAGACCTGGTCTTCCTGTTCTCAGACCTGAAAGCAGGGCGAGGAGAACCAGGAGGCCCCGATCAAATTTGAGGTTCAGAGTTCACCTTCAGCTTTGGTCTCCACATCATCTTTAAAGAATAGTTTAGATTTTTAAAAAGCTTTGTCATGTCCAAAACTTCTGAACAATAATCTAAAAAAGTTAAATCTGGTCCTCTGGACATTCAAAAAAACAAAACAAAGCAAATCAACAAAAAATGTAGAAACGTTTCGTCTCTCATCCGAGAGACTTCCTCAGTCTGAGGAGCTGTATTCAGCTCAGTCTCTTAAATAGCACCGTCTCTTCTGAACAATAAGTATCTTACCTGGTGTAGATGACCTCAGGATTGGAGCTGAGACCAAAGCGGATCTCTCTGCCGTCTTAAATCGGCTCCAAACTGCATTTAAACATCCGTAACTTTCAAATCACGGCGTAATTTCTGGATATTGGCGGACTGGAGCAGCAGCAGCAGCAGCAGCTAGCTGTGGCACCTCCTGCAAGAATATTCTCATAACTCAGCTGGGATAACGGTGTAAAGAGAAACTCGTGGAGGTTTGAAGTTTAATAAATAAGATTTGAAGAGTGGAGATTTAAGACGACCGATCTGTGTCAAGTGGTTCTGCTGGGACTGGACTGGGCAGTTCTAAAACTGAACCGTTCCAAACGTGAACGTCGTTTGAAACGTCGTTTCACTGCTGGAGGCTCTGGCAGCGTTTCTGCGCTTCAGGCAGTAAACCAGCAGCAGGTTTCTGAGACGAAGGGATGATCCCCCGGAGATCCACCAGGAAGAAGTGCAACGTTTGAATTAAAGCTTCAACAAACTGAGGATTCCTGGTTCTGGTTACAGTCCAGTTCTCTGAAGCGATTTGTGAGCGAGGGACGAGAACAAACGAGTCGTCGGCCTCAAACTGTTTGTCGAGTTAAAAACAAACATCCAAACATTTTTCCATTTTGGAGACCGACCTTCAAATCGTCCCTGAGGTCTCCCACCAGCATCGTTAAGACTGTCGGCAACTAAAATCTGATTTTTAATTAGAAATAAAATCTTTCTGCAAGTACAGACGTCATAAACATCTGAACATATGAACCTCTTTATTGCGGGTTTGTTCCATAAATCATGATTTTATTTTTATTTATTTAGGTCGTCTTCTGTTCGTGGGTCTTTTCGCTCCAAAGCCACAGCAGGAGGTAAATCTCCCAGAATGCACCTGTCTCCTCGCAGAGGGTCAGTGGTTTCTTGGTCTCAGCCGGAGCAGGTGGACCGGATCTTCCAGGTGCTTCGCAACGGACTCAAGTAGGTGAAAAATAGTTTTCGGTCGCGTAATAAAAGAAAATCTGTCGACTTTAAAACGGGAAACCTCAAAATAAAAAATGTGACTGCAGATAAAATAAAACTTCATGTTCTACCAAAACCATGTTTCTGGATCGTTCTCGTATTTCTGATCCATTTTTCAACTGTTGTTCTCCTTCAGCTGTTTTCAGCTTCATTCAGCTACTTTTTGCTTCTTTCTGTTTTCAGCTTTTTTGTTTCTTCAGCTATTTTTTTTCTGCTACTTTTCAGCTGACTTTAGCTTTTTGTGCTCATTTATTATTTCAGCAAACTCGTCTCTTTCGCGCTCTTTCTGCTTTTTCAGTCTTTTTTTGCTTTTTTAGCTGATATCAGCTTCTTTCTGCTAAATTCAGCTTTTTGTGCTTGTTTTCAACATCTTATCGCCACTTTTTCCAGCTGCAGTGCATTGAGCTTTTTATTCATATTTTCAGCTACTTTTCAGCTGTTTTTGCTCCATTTTCAGCTTTTCACCTGTTGTTTTTTCAAGCGAGCTTTAGCTCATTCCAGTTTTCAGCAAGAACTGTTCTCAAGGCCTTTTCACAGGAAATACTCATTTCTGTCGTCGCTGTATCTCGGGCTGCAACTCGATGAAAACCAACATTTAAGTAAAACTTTAGTAAAGTTTTTGTTCTCCAACTCTGAAGAAGAGGCAAAGTGTCGAAGCGTTTCGGGTGTTTTTGTCGTCTTTACAAGCTGCAGATCTGTCCGGATGTTTTCAGGGAATATTCAGAAATCCACCAGGCGGAGATGGAGTTTCTGTCGTCGCAGCAGAGAGAAACCAAAAGGAACTCCAGACTGGTGAGAACAAACAGCCCAACAAGCTCTAAAATCAGAATTGAGTGATTTTAAGGATTTGCTCTTCTGCTTCCAGGGTTTCCTCTACGACCTGGAAAAGGTAAAACGTTTTTCTTTGAAGTTTATCTCAAATGACAGATCTGGTTGATGGACATGATCATACACGCTGCTCCTGCAGGAGATCCGAGCGTTGGAGAGGTACATACGGCGCTTGGAGTTTCACATCAGCAAGGTGAGCGGACGGTTCTCGATGTGGTTTCAGAGCGGACTTGAAAAGGTTTTAATTTGTGGCATTTGCTCCGTGTGCAGGTGGAGGAGCTGTACGAGGCGTACTGCGTTCAGTGGAGGTTGAGTCAGGGAGCCGTCAACATGAAGCGAGCCTTTTCTCTTTCCCCGTCGACCCGAGCGTCCAGGGAGAGTCTGCTGGAGCTCGGCCGCAACCATCGGCACAGCCTGCAGGTACCGGACCCCGTCTCTCCGCTGGGACGAGCGGAAAACGTCCGCTTCGCTTTTATATATACGTTTAAAGGATACATCAAAGGTTTTATCACTGATCTGGACCGATCGATCATTTTTAGCCAGTCCTTCAGAGAATCTTTGGTTGAAATGTTTTTAGACACTTCGCCTTTAAGGGATAGTTCAGACATTTCAAAGTGCATTTCTGTGTAAAATATATAAACATCTTACCTGTTGTAGGTACCTCCTTTGAGACGCACTTCGTCTAATCCGAGAGGTGAAAACATACCTCTGCAGTCTTTAAACGACTCCATCAATTTCAGGGATTACGAATTTTTACTTAAATTCAGGGGTTTACGTCGCATCAAGGTTCTTTAGGTGGAACAATCCTGTTAACTCTGCTTAAAGTAAACCTGATTAAAACCAGACGAAAAGAACGAACAACGTAGTCGGACCACAGAGGCAACATGTCCAGAACAAACCCAGACCTCCTTCGTTTATTTAATTTGTAAATATTCACAACCATAAGTGAATAAAGTTTATTTTCTCTGGCCTTTAGTTTGTCAGCTGTTACCAGAGTTTAAACACTACAAGAACGTTTTCTGGTTCTCCTTCTGTTCAGGACATGTCGGCCCTGGAAGGAGAACTGGAAATCCTCCTGGGGGAGCTGAACATCAAAATGAAAGGTGGGGGCGCCGACTCGTCCGAGCCGCTCTCGGGTCTTCGCCGGTGTCGTATTTTCATTAAACTCCTCTCTCAAACCTGTTTTTACTTCCAGGTCTGATCGGCTTCGCTCGGCTCTGCCCCGGAGACCAATACGAGGTCGAATCTCAAGCCAAAGACAAAAATCTAAACGTTTGACTCTTAAACTGCGTAGAATGTGATGAACCACATGAGATTACAACGTAACCAGAAAACTGAATTTATATATAGTTTTAAACATTTTGTCTTTTAATTACAAACCTGAGTTAGAGCCTTCATTAGAAAACCCAAAGAGTCGCACTGTGTGTGGTTTGTCCTACTCGGGCTCCTGTAGAAGTCCATCAGAGTGATTCTCCCAGAGTTAAAAATAAAATTACACCTGAATCCTCTCAGAATATTTTGTATAAATGTATAAATTAGATTTGAGGTTGATAATTGAAAAGAAAATGTGACTTTATAACAAACAGTTGTTAATTTGCCTCCAAAGATTCAGATTTCTTATCACTTGTTGCCTAATGTTTTAGCTTTCAGCTAACCTGCCAGCTGTTACTTTAGCTTTTAGCTTGCATTTTGCTACTTTTAGCTGACGTTTTGCCACTTTTGGTTACATTGCTTCTTATCAACTGGCCTTCTCAGGATGTTCATCACTTTTACTTCCTGCTGCAGAAAAATCTGTTTCTCTCGTTTGGATGAAGTCCATCCGAGTTTTCAGCTGCAGGTCCGGTTTCTGTGTCCGGACTCTGATGTGGTTCTGGTGTCGCCTGAGCAGGTGGTGGTGCGTCTGGGTCGACAGAGATGGAGGATCAGGGGGAGGATCCAGTCTGACGACTCCCAGTCCTGGGATGAAGAGGAGATGGTCTTCCTCCCTCACATCAGCCAGGACTTTGAAATCAAGGTTGGAGGTTCAAACGAGACCCGAGCCGAGAAACACGGTCCAAAAATATAAAAAACATGAATATATGATGCAGCAGAACAAAACTGAACCTTTATGATTAAATGAATCAGAAGTGCTCGTTTCGGGGGAAATGTGACGAGTCCAGGGTTAAAGTTTAGCTCTCCGTCTGTCGGAGTCATCTTCAGGTGTTTTCCCCACGCTGACGTCAGCAGGTAACTCCTCAAAACTTCACCTAGATTCACTCACTTCAGCAGAACTGCCCTTTTGTTCAAGCAGCTCAATTTTAGCTTCTTTCAAAGCCGTGACCTCGGCAACGTTTCAGCTCAGTGTGCACCTCCTGATGTTTACAACCTGCGAGATGTGTGCGACCTTCACCTGCTCCAGGTTTCTGTGAAGGAACACCTGACCTCAGTCTTTCTGATCCATCCAATGTCCTCTTTCAGGTGATGGAGGCGAAGGGTTTGGGTTGGCTGCTGGTCGGCATGGTGACGTGCGCCAGCGTGGACTTCTTTGTGGCGAGGCCCCAGCTGATGTTGGTGGACGTCACGGAGCTGGGAACCATCAAACTGCAGCTGGAGGTCACCTGGAAGTATGAACGCACGCACGTTCTTGTAAACGTATTTTTTGGGACTTTGCATCGACTTCTATTCATTTTCTAACCTTGACCCTTTCCCTAAACCTAACCATTACTAGTACATGACTAGTAATGATAAACTAGTACTAGGCAACTACTAGTAAGCCTAACCCCCCAATGAGACTTCTCCTTGTGGGGACCTGGCTTTGGTCCCCACAAGGAGAAGTTTGTCCCCACAATGTTACCTGAAACAAAAAGACACACACACACACCATGACAGATGATCCTTCAGGGCAGTGGACTTCACGTCTGCCTTCAACACCATGATCCCCCAGACCCTGATGGACAAACTACTCACACTAGGACCAAGTCCGTCCATTTACAACTGGGTCCTGGACTTCTTAACAAACAGACCTCGGTCTGTGAGAAAAATCATAAAAAGACACAAAATTATTGAATCTCTCAGGAATATTTCCTTCCACCATGTTTAAAGAAGAGATGCAGCCTTTAGTTCAGCTTTGTTCTAACTCTCAGATGAACAGAACACAAAACAAGAACTTTAAATCAGAGTCGGAGATTCTTTGTCATTCAAAGCTACAAAAAAAATTTAAAAAATCTGAACAAAAAACTAAAGCACATATCTAAATTGAACAATAAAAATAGACACGAGTGCAAATGCATCAAATGGTGAATTAAAACTATATAATTTTAAATATAGATGTTTATGTAGAATCTGGTTCATCAGATTTAATAGTGAAAAAAAGTTTATATATATATATAAACTTTTTATTTTATTTTATTTTATGAAACCTGTTGCATGGTCTTACCACCAGCTGGTGAGGCATGTGACGTCAGTTTGAACCCCACCCATTAAAACCATTACTGAAAGTATAATGGAAATTGTAAATGGACTGTTCTTATACAGAACCTTTCTATTTTATCAAGATCCTCAAAGCTCTTTACAACAATCTGTGCCTCATGTACCCATTCATACAGCTCTATACTAGATCTCTACAAAGCTAATGGAACAAATCATTCTAAAGAGACTAATCAGAGCTTTAGATCACATTCATCACTGATGGGACACACGTCGGAGACGATGAGGGGTTCAGTGTCTTGCCCAGGGACACTTCAGCATTTGACTGCTGGTGGATTCAAACCTCCAACTCTTGCATTGGAGGACGACTCTAACCACTCAGCCACCCGCCCCAACACATGTACCGAGCCGAGTAGAACCGCGCTGTACCAGTACAGAAAGTACTAATGGAAAAGGGACATATTACCTGCAGTGTCCACTCAGTGAGGACTGAACTAGACAAAAGGACCTTCTCCTGCTCCGCTCCCGTTTCCTGGAATATCTCGACCTTTGACCTCTCTAAGTGGCTTCGAACATCTAAGTTCCTGGAAAAAACAATGCAGACATGTTTTTTTGTTGTTTTTAATACAGTGCCTTATAACCTAGCTGTTTTTTTGTTTTTTACTTTTTCTTTTGAATACCATTTTCTTTCACTTGTTCTTTTCATTTATTATGATTTCTTTTATGATTGTCTTTGTTGTCATAACTCTGTTAAAATCAGGTCTCTCTTGTAAATGGATCCCTGAGGATCAATGGGATTAACCTGTCTAGTCTAAAGGTTGAATAAAAAAATGCACACATTGAGCTCCTGAAGGACTCATTTTAAACCAGTTACACCAGTTTAGCTCTTCAAGGAGGAAAAGATGAGCCATTAACATCAATGAAAATGTAGAATGATCCTACACGTCTGTTAAAAAAGGTTTTGTTAAAAATATCAAGGTAAATGATTTTTTAATGATATCTTGACAAAATGTATTAAAAAAAACATCTATTTTACTACAAAATGTTTAATTGTGTCTGTTTGGCATCTATGGATGAACTTGAGCAGAAAATATCTTGAAGTGTTTTTTCTGCTAGATGACAGAACAAGTCACCTGAAGTAATTTATATTCAATAAGCAAAAAATATATCTCCTAAAATTACATGTTCACAATTTTAAAAGCCCAACACCTGAAACTGAACATGTGAGAGAAAGTTGCTCTAAGGGCACACCGTGGAAACGCTCCCATCGTCTGCACGTTTTTATTGTTTTGACTCTAATTTAAATCCGTTCATTTGTTTTTCTCTCCTGGTAGACCTCGCCTCATTCAATTAATCTCTTTGCACAAGACTATTAAAATAACTTCTTGATGTGGTTTGTATAAATCTGAACTCTCTTTGGCTCCACAGCCTCTTGACTTACAAGCGTAACAATAAAAGCAGTTAAAATAGGCGGGATTAATTTACACTTTTACATAATCCTAAAAGCAAGCCGAGGCTAATCTAGACTGTTGAGGTGTTTTAATTTAAATTAAAACGTAAATGTGTAACGCAGATTGTAATAAAACACAAACGAAGCAGCGTCCTGTCAATTCAGAGCATGAAAGTTTTACAGCCTATGAAATTAGTCGGAACCCTTTCAAAATAAAGTATCTATTTTAAAGATGAAAGTTTTTCAGTCTGATCCATTAAAAACTAAACGGTGCGTCAGCTTCAGGTTGTCCAGGCCTGTCGGGACCCTTTGGTTTAGTAATGATACATAAAACGGAGACACGGGTTGCTGCTGATGAACAATGCAGGTTTAAAATCTAACAACAACAACAACAACAACAACGACGACGAGTATAAATGTGATTTTATAGCTCGTGTGTTTCGTTCCCTTCAGTCCGTTTGACGGCGGTGAGAAGCTGAGGCCGCAGTCCGTCAGCAGACAGTCGGTGTCGAGCAGGAAGGGTTCGGTTTACGGCTGGACGGCACCAAACACGCCCTCCTTCACTGAGAAATACTACTTGGTGAGTAAAATACACGAAAGTACAGCGAACGACGTGACGGTGGACAGAAGAGCTGGTTTACTGCGGAACGTAAAGCTGGATCAAAAGGTTAAAATATCTGATCATTTTCTCAGAAGTGGTTTTCTGTATTGGTCTCGTGGTTCTGGAGGAGTTCTGGCCCACTCTTCTGTCCATCGTTGCTTCAGTTCTTTGAGGCTTCTGCTCAGCTCTCTGAAGGTCTCACCACTGTTCTTCAGACGGAGGTTCTGGACACTGACTGGGCCGTTGCAGAACCTCGGTTCTTTTCTTTCTGACCAGTTCTGTTGTAGATCAGCAGCTGTTTGGAATCATGGTCCTGCTGGACCCAGTTTGGTCCACACTTCAGCTGTTGGACAGATGAACTCAGATTTGACTCCAGAACTCTTTGGTCCACAGAGGGGTTCCTGGTCCACTCGGTGACCAACAGGACTCCAAACCATCAGCCCTCCACCACAGCTGGGAGGAGCTGTTTGCTGCTGTGCATTCTGGGTAAATGTCTGACCTTTGGTCTGGTTTCCCAGAAGTTTGAGTTCCTTCAAATTAAACTTTCCATACCTAAGACATGCAGCCATGTTTTTTGAGAGAAGAGGTTCTGACCTTTGACCTTCTGACAGAGGCCTGTAGAGTCTGAGGACGACAAACACTGAAGACCTTCAGAAAGAGGGCGTGGTGACTTTTACCTGACTGTAAATGGTCTTCACGCTGTAATCCAGTGCACGTGTAACAAGACCTGATCTCCATGTTTGAGGTTTTAGATCCAGATGTTGGTTTCTGGGTCAGGTTTGTTGGTTTTATTGTGGAATCCACCACTTCCAGTCCAAAAGAAGCAGATTAATCAAACATGTCCTGATACTCGTTCTGCAGAAATCTTGATGCAAGTTTTCAGCAAACGGCATAACTTTTTAAAAACGTAACGTCTGAGTTTCACGTTTGACCTTCGTGTGATCGGCTGTTTCTGCTCGCCTTCAGTCGATGGTCCATGAGCTGCAGGACCAGGAGGGTTCCTTTCCATCGCTGGTGTCTAAAAGTCGTCGCAACAGAGGAGGCGTGTCTCTGCTCAGCTACCTGTCCGACCCGTCTCACACCACCTTCATGTCCAACCCACCAAGCCCATTCCACCAGAGGTACGTATTTGTAAGTGGGATGGATGAAGGACCCATGTGACCTTGTAGGAGGGCCCATTGCTCCCCCCAAAAGGACACTGAGCTTTATTCAAACCATTGTGTCTCTCAGATGAAGGACACAAATCCGAAACACTGTTCTGAGCTTCTCGTGATCCGTGAAGGGTTCCCCAAGAATTCTTTCTCTTGGACTTCTCAGAGCCGGGCAGTAACCTAAACGGTGCAAACAGAGCTCTAATTCAACGCCGCAGGCGTCACACAGACCGTTGTCTTGGAGTCCATCACCATTTTGTGGTTGTTGAGCAGGTTGTCCAGTTTGAACTCCAACAAGTTTCCTTAAAGTTTTCCTTGTCAGGGAGATGACTGCTTTCCCAAATCTAGGATTTGAGTTGTTAATCAGTTCCCGTGCCCGTCTACAGTCCACCAGCTCCCTCCAGCGGACTGAGTGACGTCTAATCCAGGACTGTAGGACAGGTCTTCAGACTGTTGTGGAAATACCTACAACAGTCTCTGGTCCTCTGAAGTGGGCCTGACTTACAGCTTTTCCAAGGTAGTCGGCTCGTTCATTACCATTAGGATGTCCCAGTACCATTTAACAGTCTCACAGTTGGCTCTCCCAGTTGATTGACTGCTTTGGCACACTCCCAAGCCAGTGATGACGTAAAGTGCAGCCACTGGAGCTCCAATAGCAGCTTGGTTATCTGTTCGAATGAAAAGTTCCCTCTGAAGGTCTTGGAGAGATGCCACACACTGGCTGACTGCATGTCTCGGCTCGAGATACAGTTTCAGAACGACCCAGTGGGTCACTGTACTCGCTCTCACTGTAGTTCTGCAAGATCACCTGCACCTACTGACCCCTTCAGAAGGGGTCCATCTGTAAAACTGTAGAAATGATTGGGAGAAAGGTCCACCGTGGAGAAGTTGCTCCAGTCAGCTCCATCTTCAATCTCTGTCTGAAATTTTGGCACAAAGTTGTAGTTTTGACCATAATGTGTCCAGGTCCAGGTTGGCAGCAACTGCCCGTCCCTGGTGTGAGTTTGCTGCGAGGAGATGGGCTTGTCCACCTAACACACAGCATAACCTCACCTCCCACAAGATCTACAAATCCAGTGGAGTCAGAGTCCACTTCAAGGGCTGGTGCAGGTGTTGTCCTAACAGAACCTGTGGTGCTCAGGCAGATCGTTCATGAATCGATGCACACGAGCGTCACTCACCCCGACTTCGACTCAACCCGCCACACTAAAGCAGCGTATCGTAGCATGGTGGACTACAGCCGTGTAGATCCATCTGATGACCTCTGGGGTAGAAAATCAACGACTACCTACAATTCTAAAGCACCGATTTAAGCACATTGTGACGACCTTGCACTTTTCATTTACATCTTTTCTAGCTGAGCTTTGTTTCTACATACGCCCAGACACTTAACTGACTCTGACGAGGAGGAGAGTAACTCCTCCGTGACTACCGGAGGCACGTAAAGAACAGATGAGCTGCAGGGAGGAAACTGGACCACAGAAGCAGACCAACTGTTTTAATCTCATTTAACAAGTAAAACATCAAGTTGGTCTCATCAGCTGTTTTTTTTATAAAACATTTTATCTTTGTCTTACTTGTAATGAAGGCAAAAAGTATTTTTTGTTTCTTATGATCATTTATGAGTTGCCAAATTAAATCTTTGAACTTCACAGAAAAAGAAACAGAACAACTTCAGTTTCAAACTGAGTTTAAATCAACTTTTTGTGTTCAAATAAATTCTCCAGTCTGACTCGGGCTCACAGTTTCCCAACCAGCCACCGAGGAGGAACCAATCGAGGTGGAAGCCAGACCCAACTTTCCTCTGGAGAGGAAGAGGAGATGACTATGAGGAGGAGGAGGGTGGAGGAAATGGTGGGAGAGGACTGGGGAGGAGCGTTAGAAGCTCCATCGGGAGAAACGAGTAGAAGTGCTTCTGTTGTGGCGTTACAGAGGTGAGGATGAGCTCGGAGTTCCTGATGGTGAAATTCTGAGCTGAAAACCAAAAAAATGCTTATCTGCAGTGAAACAGCTGGATTTGAGCTGTTTATCTGCAGTGAAACAGCTGGATTTGAGCTGTTTATCTGCAGTGAAACAGCTGGATTTGAGCTGTTTATCTGCAGTGAAACAGCTGGATTTGAGCTGTTTATTTGCAGTGAAACAGCTGGATTTGAGTTGTTTATTTGCAGTGAAACAGCTGGATTTGAGCTCTTTATTTGCAGTGAAACATTTGGATTTGAGCTCTTTATTTGCAGTGAAACAGCTGGATTTGAGCTCT